GCAATCCCGTAAGCAACAAACCTCGAAAACCATGTGTCAAGAACATCCGGATCCTGATATATTTTTGCATCTTTTCCATACTTTTCTTGAGCTTTCCCAAGAGCTTCATCCTCACTCCTTGCAACTATATATTCTTCTTCACAATCTTTACCCACAATGTACCAAACTGGTATTCGATGACCCCACCACAGTTGTCTGCTTATGCACCAATCCTTAATATTTGATAGCCAGTGATTGTAAATCTGTTATTTAATAGAAGGCGCAGGTGTGAGTGAAAGAATATAGCGAATCTCTCCGGGTAAGCCACTGCCTAAATGGGGAAGAGAACTCGTTGCATTATTTACATAAGGTACTCAATTTGCTATGCAATACAAAGAAATAGAAATGTAAAACAAACTTGACCGACAATGCACAGAACAGATATCAGCACTCGTGCTCGGTACAGAGTCCTATTGGGCATGAAACCAGCAACTTTAATTAATCTATTTTATTAGAGAAAACCTTTTTTGTCAACTAAAGAGTACGAAATGTCAATTATGCTCCTTTTAAGTTTACTTTTAATTGAGTTAATATTTAATCAGATTTAAAAATTGAGGTTAACTCTGTAAAGTAACTCACTGTTTAATTAATCAATTATGCTTCTCTCACTAAATTTTCTCTTTCTGCATCATCGATCAGATGCTTTAGCTAAAAATTTAAAAAAGAAGAAAAAAAATTATGCTTCTAGTCATAATAAAAGAAAACAGCTCCATAGCTTTTATTTTTGTACTTGAAGGCTCCAACTGAAAAGAGAGGAAAACTACTTGGTGTCCCAGAAGAGTCAATATGAGGCCAAATAGCGCATACCTTTTCAAATCTTTCAGGTATAATTTTCAGGTCTCCTTTTTCAACAGCACTAAGGGCTTTCTCAGCTAAGGGCTCCATCGTTACAAACCACTGAAAGAATTGGAGGACAAAAGGAAGAATGTATATATATTATATAATGAAGGTAACAAAATCTTTATAGAAAATCACAAATTTTTCAAAACATGATAGTTCAAAAACCAAATGCGAAAAGCATTCAACTCACTTCTCCACCACGCTGAGATCTGGGAACTCATAAGGTATGTGGCTCTTTCTTTACAGCTAAACCAGTCTCCTCCAGATCTGCCCAAAGTTTCTTCCGGGCCTCAAACCGATCAAGGCCACTGACAGAATCACAGGTTTCATTACCAAATATAAGATATAGGATAAAAGATAAAGTTCTCCAATAAATTCAAGTTCACAATCCAAGAACTTATACAGCATTTACCAGTACAGTCCGGCAACCTTGTTTAGCGTTCCATCCTTGTTCATGACATTAAGTATTGGAAGACCAAGCTTTCTTGCAAGATTGTAATCATTATGATCATGTCCAGGGCTTATCTTTAGCACGCCAGTGCCAAAGTCTTTCTCAACATGCTGCCAAAACAATTAATGGTCCACAAATCAAGTTATTTACCTGGAAATATATGAGAAGCAGGCAGGCAGTCAAGGCAAATAGTGGACTGGAAAAACAAAAACAAATATCTATCTTCCGGTTACATTACACATTTTCTGATTACAAATGACGCCTTATAAAGATGTAAAGCAATATAGCCCCAGACAGCAGGCCTTGCACCACCGTTTGCAGAAAATATAACGACGTAATTTGCATAATCCTCTTGATTCAGTTACCAAATCAGATAGAATTTTCCCAAGGACAGAATTCTATTTTACTTTTTCACTTTTCAAAAACATTATTCTTATATTACTTTGCACAAACATAGGATTCTAATTAATTACGTATTAGTATTGGAAACAAAAACTTACAGCAACCACTTTATAGTTCTGCAAGGACATAACCACAATATTCCTTGTGTTTGTTTTATATAGCAGGGAGCATAAAAAGCTTAAAATAAGTATTCTTCCACATTACAAACTTTACAGCAAGTGAATAAACTGAAGAGGTGCATCAAGAAAAATAAAAAAGAGCACTCAATTGAAATGGGGAATAACTGAAGAAAGTATTCAGGCAGGCACCAAAAAGAAAAACAGAACAAAAACCAACACATAAACCTAGGTAAGGGACTTGGTAGAAGGAATTGCGCACAAACCCATACCCAGTCGAAGAGGCTACCAGTAGTACTAATAAATTCACTCCCATATTAACTTTCTGCTTCTAAACATCCCTAGACATTACTGTTAGAGCATGATACCCATCAGAGATCCAAGCATCAGTAATCGAGATTTGGCATCATACTAACAATAAAATTACAACAGCAAATACAATGAAGATAGAAAAGTAGTCCAAGATGCTTTACCTTGTCAGCGATGATAGGGATGTGACGGCCATATGTCAAAGGCACTATAGCCATTCTATTAATATATTTAGAATATCGATCATCCTGCATGACATTATAAAACATTAGAAACCATTCGGACTAACAGCTTGTATAGCAATTAGTGTTTTAGTGTCCTTTGGCTAAGAAGAATAGAAAGAAAAACTATAAAATGTGGATAAGGTAAAACAGCTGAGTGAAATTTCCAAACATATGTCCCTATCTTGCTCCTTTGGGTCACATATTAAGAGTAGTTTCTGGCTTGTGTTTGGCATAGAGGGAGTTGTTGGGGAGTTTTTAAAGTTGATTTCATTGTGGGACAGTTGCTTTCTTGCGGCCATGCTTTCCAAAACACTTTAGGCATGTCCCCTTTAGTATGACTCATCTAGGCTGGTCTGTTGTACTGGACTAGGTGTGGCAACAGTATTATGCTATTTAATTGGCCTATGTCTATGTGTGTGGCTTGATGGTAGCCTTTTAGGTCTCTTAGTTCATAAAGTGAAAATTTCAAGCCTTGTTAGTCTTTGGCATTTTTCACTTTATAAATAATGAGGGTTCTTCATTGAGAAAAAAAGAAAAAGAAAAAGAAAAAAAAGACTCCTTGGACTCAAATGTTGGTGAACATGACCCGTAGGAGTAAAAAGATCAAACATATTAGAATTTCCCAAACAGGGAATACAATGTTCGTTTATAGAAAGAGAAATTTCAACACTCAAAACAGTTATACGTCTAGGGCTTCTTACGCCTCGATTTGTTGTTAATTAAACAATACTAAATACGGAAGAAAACAAACACAACTATGTAAACACAAGCTAAGGTTTCATGTTGTAGAATTCAGAAAATTAAACAATATATGCACAGACCTAAGACCATTGTGCATGTACCGACTTTTTTAAGTAAACAATACATGATAAAATCTAAATACTTGAGCACCAATTTATTAATCTAGGCCTTCACACAAAGCCCAGGTTAGGAATTTATATAAAAAGATTAGGTTTACATAGATGTTGGTCCAAAAAAATCAAAAGCAATGTCTAAAAATATTTTACCCTATAACCTTTCTAAATTGCTTAAACATTATTTACCATAAAAGAACTGTCATCACCTGGTCGATCCATAACTAAACTCCTAAAGGAAGCCAGAAATGTAAGCAAAATAACCCCTACCTCAGGATGCACAGCAATAGCTACATCACCAAATAATGTCTCCGGACGTGTTGTTGCTATTGTCAGATAGTCGGACCTAAGTACAGAAGGTACCAATGAGAGTGCATAATGTAACTCGGAAAATTGTTAGAACTCACCCATAGACATAGCAGTAGAAGAATTTACAAACGAATAAGTGAACGACTGCTAAAGATCGTAAAACTTAAGTACTCCCAAAATTTTGTAAACAGTAATCATCTTTTTGTTGTAATATTAGTTAGTTGTCAAACACAAAATAACCTACCAATGTTCGAACTATGAATGTCACAGTTATTGTGCCAATAAATTTTCCTCTCTAGAGGGACCAAGTTGCTTTTTTATAAATAAAAATTATATTAAAAGAGGAAAGAAGCAGAGACAGCAAAAAGGGTGGTCAAGCAAACCACCCCAACCAGAACCCGGAAGAGAAAAGCCAACTCTAGCTGAGAGGATTAACATAAGATCTGCACTAGCAACTATATATCAACAGAATATTTTGCATCAGCACACAGTAATAGCACAACAGAAGACATATGCTTGTACACTCTAATAGACCATATAACGTTAAGAACACATTTCATAAGGGAATCAGAAATGGTCAGCTGGCAATTACTTTACACCTCCAGCAACACGATACTTAAGATAATAAAGAGTTCCGGATTCTTCATGATATTCTACTTCCTGTTCATAAATATTAAGGGCCATGTCAAATATTGCATTTTAAAGCACAAGCTCAATCGAGATTAGAGCGTAACACATACATGAGACCAGATGAAACTTACCAAGTCAGAAACGGCAGTCTGTAGACTAGGAGACCAATTCACCATGTAGGACCCTATGTATATACAAATAACAAAAAAGTATACATGTAAGTCACACTTTCTTGTAAACGATAAACAGCTTACTCTTCCAAAAATCAACTCAAAACCTAGAGGGAGAGTTTCAGGACAAAAGTGTAAAATAATAAGGTGAATATAAATTCAACTGTTCTGACTAGAGAGAATGTTGTTTCAGTCACCATAGAAATGTGATTGTTGTAATACAGAAGAGATCTAATTCCTTACATCTTGACTTTTGCCATTATTCACAAGAAAAAACTGCCAGCTTATTCATAACTGAAGACTTCAATATACAAGAATTTCAACGAAAATTCTGACATACCAGTTCTTTATAAGATTAATATGTCACCATATATTTCAATTTTTCACAAATAATTCAATTCTTTCAAATTCTCACAAACAGAGAACACATCTAACACAAAGCTAGTACCATATTCGCGGTACAAATATGTCACCATATTATACCTATACTAAAACCCAAATTCGGGTGGCACTGTTTTTCACTGTTCGTGAACAGTGAACTACCGAAATTGTCCTCCACTTACTATTTGGAGTTCTTATTTTTTCCGTTTCTATACAGAGAAGTGGCGGATTTACCCTTTCTGGCCACGCATTTCGTTTGTGCTGTTCAGCCTTCCCATTCTTTTCCCTCATTTGTACCCACGTGTCCGTTTGCTTCTAAGCGATGTCGACACGTTAATCTGATTCCAACAGTTCTCCACCCTCCATTTTTTGGTGGGGAATGTGCTCGAAGGCTCTTCCATTTTCTTCCGTTGCTTTTCCCTTTCTCTTCCTCTCTGTTTCTGTGCTTTTCTCCCTGCGTAAATCCTTCGTGTTTCCCTGCTTCTCTCCACCTCCTCCTCCGCCCAAGAACCACTGTTCAATCTGGTTTCTCTGGCTTTTTCCGATGGCGGCCAAGATTTTGTCATGGAGGAGATGAATGATGGAGGTGAATCGGATCTTGAATACGATTTCTACCGCGAGACTTGCCCAGCAATTGAGACCATTGTGAGGTCGACGATGGTGCAGATTTATTCCCACCAGAAGAATGTCTCTGCTCAGCTGCTGCGCCTCTTCTTCCGTGACTGCTTCATTCAGGTACATCCCAAACCCCAAGATTCTTTTTTTCTTCATCTTTGTGGCTATTTCTCGTATGGGTTTTGTTCTGATTGCTCTGCTTTTAATCTTGATGCTACTTTTCTTCATCTTTGAGGGTTTTTCTCAAATGGGGTTTCTTCCAAATTCTAATCTTGCTCTGGGTTCTCTGACTTTCTTCATTTTTGTGTGGGTTTTTCTCGACGGTTTTTGTTTGGATTGTTCTAGATTTTTTGGTTTCTCCTGTGTTCATGGAAAAGTTTGGAACTTTTTCAGAAATTCCCAGAAAACTAACCTTTCCCTTTAGTTTCAAGGTTTCTGGTGAATTGGGTAATTCCCAAAATTAACTGTGGTTAATTTGAGCTTGCTTTTTATTTTTATTTTTTTGGGTAGTATTGATGTGATATCAGTAGCTTTCTGATGAGATTTGATGACAAAGATGAAATATTTGAGCTTGCTTTTTATTTTTATTTTTGTGGGTAGTACTGATGAGATTTGATGACAAAGATGAAATCTTTGAGCTTGGGTTAAGTGTGGTTTTTCAATGCCTTTTCTTAGCTCTGATTGCAGAGCTTTACTATTTACTGTGGTGGAAAAAGAGGTAGATTGAGGAAATAAAATGTTTATGCATATTATTATGAATTTAATATATTTTCATTTATTTAAAAATAGAGATTAATTGTAAATATAATACCTACAATATTTAACATAGCTTTTTTCTCAATGTCATTTTCCAATGCTTAACGTTTGCTTTTGTTTATGCATTTGATTGAAGTGTTATTTCATTTTTTAACACTTTTAATTGATTCATGTTTATGTTTGAATCAGAAGAAAAACGTTGCTAATGATTTACCTGTGATGATGCAACGTTGATATGCTTTTGTGTCAATTTGGCTTCAGTTATTTGGTAAGAAAACTTACTTTAACCCCCCCCCCCCCAGTTTAATTCATTTTGTGTTATCAGTTTTCTTAAGTGGAAGCAATAAGTATGTTTTATACGGCATATTTTAAATAATTAGATAAAAAAATTGCTTTCTAAAGATTGATGTGAAAATTTATAAATTGAATTTAAATTTAAGAAACGCATGAATGAATTTAGCAAAGAAAACAAAAAATGAGAACTATTTAAAATCATTTTCTTTTGTTTATGCGTTTGATTGAGGTGTTATTTCATTTTTTAACGCGTTTAATTAATTCATGTTTATGTTTGAATCAGTAAAGAAACGTTGCTAATGGTGTACCTGTGACGATGCTACGTTGATATGCTTCTGTGTTAATTTGGCTTCAGTTATTTGGTAAGAGAGCTTACTTTAACCTCCCAGTTTAATTCATTTTGTGTTATCAGTTTTCTTAAGTGGAAGCAATAAGTATGTTTTATACAGCATATTTTAAATAATTACATAAAAAAATTACTTTCTAAAGATTGATGTGAAAATTTATAAACTGAATTTAAATTTAAGAAACGCATGAATGAATTTAGCAAAGAAAATAAAAAATGAGAACTATTTTAAAAATTTTAAAATGTGTTCTAGGGTTTAGTACGAAAAGTTGTTTCATGAGTTGTGTTTTGAGGTTTACGTTTATGATGTGAATAGAAATATGATTGAAATGCACATACATTATTTTTAATATTTTAAGAGATGATGTTTATTGTCTGGAGAAAATAACAGCATCATTCCTACATGTTAAGTTTATTTATTTTTCAATTATTCTGGAGAAAATCTGAGGCCAAGTTCTTCGCTCTTCTCAGTTTCTGCTGCTGATCAGTTGCCATCACACTATGTAATGAACTCTTCTTCGTCAAATATATTCCATTTCCAATTTGGATTCTCGCTGTTGGTTCTCTATTTGAAGTTGGGAAAAACTCATATGTTGCTTTTACAGTTTGATTAACAGTTCTTAATTAGAATTGGCAAATTCTTTTACTAAACATTTTTTTTACTCATATTTCTAATGTTGGAGGTTCGTTCTGATTTGAGATGGAAATTAATGTTATCAAGAGTTAAAAATGTGATTTAAGACACAAACTATTATGATTTTGTAGAGAAAATAAGCTTTTAAATGAAGGGTTAGAGAGGTATGGGTGGGATTGGTTGAAGGATTTGATGGAAGCTAACTTAATTATGATGCCGTTAAAAAAAAAGTCAAGGATAAGTTGAAGGGTTAGAAAGAAACTAGAGTGGAATTAATTGGAAACGAACCATTCACTAGAAAATCGATATATTTTTAGGTGTATTCGGAATACAAAGTAGTATAATAAGTGGTCTATGTGGTTTATATTTTCTATACTTTTTCTTATAATCTCTTATGCCTTGGTCTATTTACTTTCTTGAATTCGATCTGTTTTTGTAGAAACTTGGTTGCATGGCAAGTTGGAAATGCACAAAAGTTTGATAACGTCCTATAGAATTGCCAGAGAAGGTCATCTCCATTTTGTGCAAAATCAGCCTTCTTTCTGCACACAAAAACACTAGGTAAACACACTTAATCCTTATTTTGTTCATGATATAATTCTACTGTATAAATTTATTTCAATTTTTTTTTCCCTTGCCTGGGATGCTTCAAGACCAACATAGTAGAGGACAACTTTTAGTGTTGCAGTAAACAACATTTCCCATTAATGTTTTTGGACAGGAAGCAATTTGTGTTTTTTCGTATCCAAAGAACTTTGTAATATTTTTAATAGACGAAATTGGTTTCTCTTTGGATATTTAAATTTGTTTCATTCATGATGAGTTTGTGTATAATTTGCATTGGCATTGGTAACTCAGTTTTTGACTCAAACATTATTTATGAAGATTGAAATTGCATAATCTTTCATATAGTTTTTAATCCCGCAGCAACGCGCGGGTACAAATTCTAGTATTTCCTAAAATGGCACCACATAGATTAATAAAAAAAATATCCTTTAACAGAAAAACTCAACTAAATACTGATTCAATGAATCAACGTAATGTTTCACAAAGTTGGCATGCTGTAGAGCATATATCATGGTTACAGACAACCAGCCATCCCACATGTATGATCATAACTTGAAGCTAAGAACTTCAAATGATGAGAATAGTTGTCACAACATGAAGTAGAGAATAACAAAAACTAAAGACAATGGATGGGATTCAGCAGCAAAACAAACCCACCTTCAGAACTCCATTAAAAAGGGACACAGGCCACAACAAAGTTCTTCAGAGTCTAGGATTATGGAACAACTTTAAAAGGAACTTAGGGCTATACCTTGATAGATTAAACCTTTCTCATGAAGTCTGACAAAGGCCTCTATAACAGCACCTGCATGGAGTAAAAGGATATGAGCCTTGACAGATAAAGCCTTTTCCCTCAATATGAATTTTGATTTTTTCAGAGAGAAATAATAAAAATGATCACAATACAAACATTTACTAGCTCCTAACAACATTAGTGACCTTTGAAGTTAAAACTGCTCTTTTTTATTACATCTTGGAGCCCTAAAGAAAAGTTTTAATAAAGTGTGCATTTGCAAGGGGGTTGTAGCTCAAGTGGTTAAAAGCATTTACTCATGAACCCGAGGTCCTAGGTTCCGTTCCCCCCATCCCCCAACAAATCAATAACTTTTGCACATATTCCTAGACAACTCATTCGGTGCCCTATACTACACATGGGAACTCGACATACCGTGCCCCCTTGGGGCTTACATTTCATACATACTTTCTCAGTTGACTAGAGTTCTACAAGATAGAAAAATGCCTTACGACTTAACTGTTCATCAAGGGTGAAATGCTCTCTATTCCAATCACAAGAAGCACCAAGTCTTTTGATCTGATTTATGATGGTTCCACCATACCTGATATTATAATCTATTAAAAAATAACAAGTATAAATGGAAACAACAAATTTCATTGGAACATTAATGGCAGCAATTCACTTTTTCTGGGAATTGTATTTAGTATAAATTAGTAAATTGCAAATCTAATCATATATGATTCAGAACAGAATCATAACTACACAAGATTTTACTTTATGGTATTTCTTTAAAATAGGCATGCTTTTTGAAACGAATGACTGGTATAGGGTACCTTTCAGTAGAATCTTTAACTTAGCTAATCTTCAGAAGCAGAATAATGATGATCATTCAATCATGCTGCAGGTATTAAATTATGAATAGTAGGAATCAGTTGATTAACTTTTTCTACATTGCCCACCCAATGTTGACTTGTGAAATGAGACTTCCATACAATCCTAGCTTGCTTTCAGGGTCTTTCATGAAGTGGCCATTCTCCAAAAAGTCATCTTTACAAATAAAGAACTAACTAGATATTTAGAAGAGATGATGCACAACATTAAAGGAGAAACCTAACATGTTCAGTAGATATACCATAGGCCAAAGTATATATTTAGCAGTGATTCAGTGTACACCAAAATTGTTTTCCATGATTTTTCTCTTTTTTTAAAATAAACAATTTTATTTATCATTGATTCAGTGTATACCAAACTGCAATATAGCTTTATAAAGGCCATAGCAACATCCTGTACAAGGAATTCTACATGTTGTGACAAGAAACAACAGTTTTTCTCTCTTTTTACTAGCACCACAAAAAATATAGTACGGTAGAATGCATGAGAGAGAGAGAGAGAGAGAAGATAAACAATGGAAGATAGATAAGAATATATACTTCTCTTTCCACTCCCAAACTTTACTCACAAACTCATCTCGACCCAAGTCAACCCTTCTAATTCCTTCAGAAGCAAGCATTTTTTCCACAACCAGCTGGTAGAAAAAGAGGAATAGTAGTATGAGCAAAAAATTCAAACTAAGATAGGCAAGTTACGATTCTAATTAATACAAAACGGTGCAAATTAAGACAAAATCAAAGCCAATGAACAAATATAGATTCCGAAATTGACCAACAAAGTTATCAATAAAAAACCAAATCCCAATCGTGAGCTCAAAAAAATAAAGAAAGAATCAGATCAAAGCAGTTTCAACTCTTCCAGAATTATAAAGGAAGTTGCAATACGCTTGTAGAACACAGAAAATTATAAATGAAGATGATGTGAAGTATTGCAATAAAGATGTGAAAACAGTGGAAATACTTGTCTTGAAACATAGGCTTTGTGGTACAGAGACAAACCTGAGTTGCTATACCAGCATGGTCAGTCCCAGGAAGCCAAAGTGTTGGTTTCCCCTTCATCCGATGATATCTAACCATAATGTCCTACAACAGAAATTAATGAAAAGTGAATAGAAGAAGTAAGCAGCAGTAAGAAGCAGTTGAATTAAAATTTAGGAAAATTGAACCAAGTTCGTCCACATTTTTTCAGACAAACATTCAGTAATTTTCTTTTTCTTAGATTAGGTCCTTCTAACCATTTGACAAATCCAAGATTAGATTATTGCCCCAATCATCATTATTTACAGTAAAATGCGGGTTTGAAATCCCCCAAATTAAGCTATTCAAATTGTAAAAATCTCAATATTTATGAGGTTTATATAACTACAGGCTACACCACAAGGCCCAAAGGTACAACTGACTTTGTGTTGACACTTGGGATTACTATTTTTATCAGCTATGCTTTGACATTCTGTACAAAATCTCATTGCACATGTAGTCCTTAGTTCTTCCAATTCAATTCCAATCTTTCAACTTCGCGTACCTATATTTAGATATTCCAAAATATTTTCCATTTCTTAGTCAACTATTATTTATACAACCTCGCACCAGTATGTGCAATTAGAAAATGAACACATTCTTGGGCCACACGTGACAGATAAGCAGCAGTTACCTGTGCCTAGAAAACTAGAAGCATGGCTAGGTGCAAACACTAATATGCACTTCAACAAAAAATGACAGAGAATGATAAGATCCGATACTTATAAACACCTTTCACAACCTCAAGAGTCACAAACATCGCATGCCCCATATGTAGAGAACCAGTAACATTTGGAGGCGGCATTGAGATTACAAAAGGATCACTTCCTCGGTCAAGGTGTGGCCTAAAATAACCTTGAGACTCCCACCTAACAATCAAATGAATTCATTAATATGCAATGATTGTACATAAAACAATATACTAGTAAGCACCACTTGATAGAATCTGCAAACTGGCATGTGAAAGTACAGGCAAGAGTCAAGACACACATGCAGCAACATAATTTCTTTTAAGTTAAATTAGAATGTGTTTTTCATTATAAATTATTAAAAATTACAGTCACTACATAATTTCTTTTTAAGTTGAAATTAGAATGTGTTTTTCATTATAAATTATTAAAAATTACGGTCGCTACATTAAATACATGCAGAAACACCATAGGCTAATGCAGCATGAAACTGAAACTTTTATCACCGGTGTAAGTCAGAGATCTGACTATATATCTGAAACAGCTTCTTGGAACTTAAATCTTTCATACTAATGGAGAGAAATGGTGTAGATCGATTATAACTAGGAAATGTAATAACAGGTAAGGTACCAAAAAAGTGATTCTCTCTTAACTAAGCCACAAGAAACCCAAGTGCTCTGGAGGCACAGGGTTTGTGGACTTCCATAGGAATTAAACATTAAGAATTTCACTCACTGATAATTGGATCAACATGGAATATGGAGTTAGAAGTTTAGACTGGAAAACTAGCTTGGTTGTCTTATACACCAAATTCCAAAAACAAAAAATAATCCAAAAAATGAACAAATACTTTGAACTTTCATAATATTTTTGGTATCCAATTTATTTTCTATTTTCTATACAACGCCCCATAAGTATCAGGACTAACCCTGCATAAAGCACTTTGGAGCATCAACAAGAAAACTTGAAAAGATGTCAGGTGCACTGCAAAAGTATCACCTGGAAAAAGATTGGTAACCGACTCTTCAAGAAAGGTGTCAACTGTGAACTCCAACCCAAACATTTTCCCAGAAAAAAAAGTGCTGGCCTCCTGAATTGTATAAGCTACTTTCCAATGATTGAATATACTTAAACTTTTTCCTCAACACCAGTTCAAAAAATGGGAAAACTCATCTTTCATCCCAACAAAACAACTTCAGTTACAAATTTAGCATATACATGACAAAAAGTACATTACACAATGAGGCAATACAACATCACATAAGCAGAGCGGTCCCACTAAATATACTGCAAAGCCTCTAAATTCAGAACTAACAGTAGAACGATAGCATTATATCAGACAACATCAGACCCTATAAATCCAACACCTGCCTTCAGATACAGAAGCTTCCCCAATTCACGTTAAGAAAAAAAAAAAAAAATCGACAGTGAATTGTAACAAAAAGAAAATCACGGAGAATGCGCATAACACCAAAGCACCCATACTAAAGCTGTATTTATTTATTATTGTTACCCCAATTATTGGTCATAACAGAAAGAATGCATAAGAAAAGCGTATAAGAAAGAATATTACCAATTGTATATCCGCTCTTCTGAAGTAAAATCAAAGGTCTTTGCAATCTCTGGAGACGTAAACACACCATTCTCGGAAGCAGCAACTGAAACAGAACAAGAACTGATAAATGCACCATCCAACAAATTCTACAAACTTCAACGAACAAAATTCTACGAATTAAAGTGATTAAAATTCAAATGCTTGATTGGTTAAGCTCAATTCTCCGTATTTTTCCAACTGATAACAGTGGGAAACATGAAAGGAAAGCTACATCCGAATTTTCTCGGCAACCAAACAAAGAATTAAGGGAAAGTGAGAGGGTAATAATCACCTGACAAGTGTTTAGGCTTAAGAGGATTGAAATGCCAGTAGGAGAGACTGGCGCGACGACGCCGTTTGGAGAACAGAAGAGGACGGAGCCTGTGAGCAGAGCACGAGGACCAGAGAGAGGGGGCCGAGGAATGTCGTTTGGAGAATCATCGTTTTGGAGAGAAAGGCTCGTTTTACGAGGTCGTATTTTCCAGGTGAGTAAGGGCTGGTTTGGTATTGTGGTTCTTTGAAAAAAAGCTGCTGCGAGAATAAGCGGCTGTGCTGTGAGAATAAGCGGCTGTGAAATAAAGCAGCAGAGTGTTTGGTAAACTTTTTTGTAAAAGTGTTTTTGGAAAAAAAGGCAGTCTGATAGTGGGTCTTTTCATTAAAGGAGCATTGTAGCTCGATGTGCTTTGAAAAAAAGTCAGTTTTTCAAAGCTGCAAATAGCAGTTTCAGTTTTTTCCTTTGATTTCAGCTTATTCTCACAGCAACTTCCAAAATAAGCCCTTTTTTTTTCAGTTTACCAAACACCTAAAACCCTCATAACTTTTTTTCATGGGTGTTTTTTTTTAAGCACCTCACTCCCAAACTAGGGCTAAATGACAGCATAAACCTTGGTAGGACTTTAGCTATAGAAGAAGGGGGGTTTTAGTTTGAGGGGCAGAGAAACATGATGCAGCGGATTACGAATGGATCCACTTCGGATTTGGTCCATGTGATTTTTTCATTTTTCCATAAAAATTTGTTAAAATTTGACGACATGGAGATGTGCTTATCACATTTCGGTAATGACATTGATTGATCGATGCTGAAATTTAATGAAAAAAAAAGTAAAGGGAGATTCAATTTCGATGACCATTCATAATAAAAACCCGAACAAATGAATTTTGTATAATGAAAATTCGATCTAAAATTAGATGGTTTGATTCATCAAAATACAAAAGCAGAGGTAGATCTATAAAAATGGCCCTATACAAGGTGAATGATCATCAATTTTATTTTTTTGAACAAAAGATATTATTTACACTAAAGAGAGGGAAGTGTGCTAGCCTCATAATGAGTTAGCAATAATGTTGTTCAAATTCGCTTTTAGTTAGAATTGAACCTAAGACATCTTACTTACAAGTGAAACAGAATACCACTAATGCAGTATTAAGTGGCACTTCTATGTAGTTTATACTTATGTAATTACGCAAAGCATCTTCAATTGATCATTTGAACGGGCTCCTAATAAAATTTAAGGGATGAGTTGGAACATCCATCTCCAATCACACTCCTAAGTATGAGGGGCTAAGAGGTTTTAGATTTGAATATCGTAAATGACAAATGAGCTTTTAATATCATTTTACATTCCTCACAAGTATATTTTTCTTTTTAAACATATAAAGTTTTGAGTGTAACATGAGAATTATAGAATGCTAATAACAATTTGCAAAATAAAAACTCTATATCAATGGGTTGATAAGCATTATGACTTCCTAAGATAGAACTTATGCTTGAATATAAATTTTTAAAGGAGCTTACAAGATAGTCTTTGACTTGAAAGTATATATAATTAGAGACTCTCTTATATGTAATTAAATGGGGAATGAACAAAGGGAAATATCCTCTCTCAATTCTCAAATAGAGTGCGATCAACTGATCATATTTCAAGAGGAGTTAATAATACTAATTAAGGGTGATTAGTGCCTATTGAGAAATTCAACAATTATACAATATGTTTATACCATATTTAGGGCCTCCGTATTTAGACATTGTATAAATACTCGGAGGATTCAAATGTAATTATGCAATAAGTGAAGGGGTAAATATGTACTAAGTGAGGAACCCTTATTCTATAAAAGGGACTCCTCACTCTCTTCATGGGAGAGCCAATTTGAGGCAAAGGTTGAGGCTAGAGAGAGATCCATCAAAATAGGCCTTTGGCCCCCCATAAATATAATACAATCAGTGTGGACGTAGCCCAAACCTTGGGGTGAACCACGATAACTCTTGTGTCATTTACATTTTATGCAGATTCACGGTCGGATTTACGTTGTACCAAGACCATCCGGTTTTGTGCATCAACACAATATATTTGCCTAAATTACCATCCAATCAACGGTGACTTGAACACATATGTTGAAACGATTCCCTTCTTACTTAGCATTGATTGTAACAATCATTCAGATATTTACCTTCCTGACTCTGTATCAATTGTATCAACCATAAGAATCAATTATACGGTTCTTTTCTATAAATATTGGAAACTGCTATTAATATTCCAAAAATCTCATTACTACTTACAAGTATTATTTTTACTAATTATACAAAGTTTAGATTGCAAAATGAGATTTTTGGAGTGCCAATAATAATTCCCTAAACATTTGTATATTATAACTTTGAAAATTCAATTAAAAAAATATTCAACCATATTAAATTTAATTGTGGATATTACCGTTATGTTGTTATGGTGTATTTATGTAATTCATTGTAGAGTTTCAGTTACGAACCTAACTTCCCAATGGCTGTATATATACGTATATATATGGTCATGTATTCGGGTCGATAACATTCATATCGTATTATTGGATACTCTTGTATTAACTTAGTGTTTTTTATGTGGATATTGTGATTTGTCACGCTGTATTAGTTTTTTGCTATCCTTTTTGTATATCATGCGAAATGAAAGTTTGAATTAAGACGCATCTGTTTTTCGAGTTGCAGTACAAGAATTTGAGACCGGATTATCTGAAGAACATGGAAAGTCATCAACTGGAAGGGTGCCAGCGAAAGTGTATGAGAAAGAAAGCCCTAAAAGCTGGTGGCATTTGCAGCTAGTTGAGTTCCCGAAAATAAAAGGATCAACGTGACAAATGAGGACGCTTATTTAATCACGCATATTTCCCATCCCATATGTATGAACACCAGATTAGATTAGTGTATGATGTCGAAAATTTTGTTCGACGAAATTGTTGCTGTTTGCTGGATGTAGTCGTTGCTTTTACAGAATTCTTTCAACCAAAATCTTCAACATCAAAGTAGAACCCCCACTCAAAAAAACCAAGGAACAAAGCTAAAGATAAGCAATTCTTGGAACAAAAATGACCAATTCTAGCCCAAACAGAAAAAATTCAAGAAACAAAACGGATAAACCAAAGAAACAATCATATTACAGTCACAAAAAGAGAACCACAATGCAACTGAGACTAATCTTGGAATACCACCAGTTCATGACCCTAAACAGAAATTTGTAGAAACCCAACTTATAAATCAGAGTAACTATAAAATTATGGGAAATATGTAGGAGACGCCAGTAGAGCACAACATGCAGAGCAGAAAAACACAGGTGGAACAGTGTCAGCATCCTCAATTCCGCGGCAGCGTGTGTGTTGCCACACCTCACATAAGTCGCATGCCACCATCCTCTCCCCGTCATCATCTGTAGCACCGCAGTCACAACTCACAATCCAAATGTCAGATCCGCCTTCATACCTCAGTGGCGTGTCTAAATCTATCCCGCTTCCTCTCACACCAACTACTACTCCCGATTCAGCTACTCCAAAAAGGGGTTCCATATCTTCCATTTCACCCAAGCCTTCGATTGCCATGACCTCAAACCGTTCTGTGATAAAGTAAGTATCTCTCAGTGCACTCTCAGCTGCTCGCTTTAGTTCCCTGACTGTTGCATGCAGTGGCAAAACTACTACTTCACCAGGCGGCAGCTCCCTTTTGAATACGAATTCCATATCAGTCAAGAGTTGGCAAAAGATTGTCAACGACTGCTCTTCATCATCCCTGTGTGAACATTCCTTCACAAAGTGCTTGGCGCCCAATAGTCTTTGAGTAGCCAAAACCATTTGCTCTGATTCCGGGTATTCCAACAGCACGTGCTCATATAGATAAAGCACATCATTGTACACATCAACTCCAGGAACTAGAGTTGCTGATTGAAACGACTGAGCGGGCTCCGAGACCTTAACCCCATCTGCAAGATCATGAATTGTATACTCCAAAACCCGAGTTGCTGGGTTCACTGCACGGCACACAATATGATTCCCAACTATCACATTATTCATTGACTTCAGCACATAATCCAGAAGGCCAGTATCTCCAATATGTGAGCGAGCTGCATCTCGCACATCTTGCCGGGTCATCACACTTTGACCGCTCTCTTTCTTTTCGATGGTTACACTTCTAGCCAAGCTAGTAGATATTCCTTTTGTACGATTGGAAGAGCGGCTAGTTTGGTGGTGAATAGCAGGACAGGTTCCCCGAGGACATTAGAGATGGCCTTGTTGGCGGGGGTAATGCGATTGGTGACGAGGTGGTGCACGAAAGTGACATCGCAGAGCACCTTGTACGGCTGTCTGAATCCGTAGCATGCAGTGTAGAACCTCACACTCTTCCGGTGACGCTTCTGCCTTTTCACTCTCATAATTCTGTCCTAATAATACTGCCCGATAATCCTCTCAATCGTAAAGAAAAATACAATTATACTTCAAAATTAAAACTTTTTACAGTTTCATAAATCAAATTTCATCAAACTGAGTTCAAGCTGAAGAGATTAGAAAGAAGAGGAGAAAACCTGAAGCAAAATACCGTCTGGGGAAGAGGAAGTCTCTTCCGAAGTGGGCCGCTTCCGGCGAAATCTTGTCGAAAGGTGGTGCGTTGCCGCCGAAATGGTGATAGGAATCTTGTGCTCCGCTGAAATCAGAGCGCAGAGGAGAGAAATTGGGCAAACTGGGCTTTCCGTTAGGTAATTTAGGAAATCAAATTTTTTGGGGTTTAGGGTTTAGGGTTTAGGGTTTAGGGTTTAGGGTTTAGGGTTTAGGGTTTAGGGTTTAGGGTTTAGGGTTTAGGGTTTAGGGTTTAGGGTTTAGGGTTTAGGGTTTAGGGTTTAGGGTTTTTAGGGTTTAGGGTTTAGGGTTTAGGGTTTAGGGTTTAGGGTTTAGGGTTTAGGGTTTAGGGTTTAGGGTTTAGGGTTTAGGGTTTAGGGTTTAGGGTTTAGGGTTTAGGGTTTACTATAGTTACTGATATAAATAGCGTAAGTAATGGTCTGATTGCATTTATGCTTTGTGTCACAACGGATAAGGCGTAAGGGGTAAGACAGGGATGACTCCGGGTTCGATTCCCCGCGGTGTTTTCATGCCTTCTAAAAAATTTCATTTAATGAGCTTTTGTAATTGTCTCCTAGGGGTTATGAGAACTAGACTTTCTTATATGAGCGTGTGAAAGATTTTTTTTTTTTTTTTTACTTCAAGGCACACTATGCGGGGCTTGGAGAGTATTAATAATATTTTGAAATTAGTTCTCATATTCCTCAAAACTGAAGAAAAATCGTATCAGCAATAAAATAAAAAAAACATGATAAAAATGTTAGCAAAAAAGGAGAAACCAATATTCACATGCATGCAAACCAAGGCATGTTTCTCCTCTCCCTTAAGCTGCCTATGCAAAGTATTACTCCGGCGTATCTTTTCTTCCCTGAAACCATCTCTATTCCAAGCATTAGTAAACCAAACTTGTGATAATTCCAATTTTTTGAGTGGTAGCAATTTGAAACAAAGGGCAACCAAAGTAGCTATAGCAATGCGGATCACTACAGCAGGTGTGACTAAGACTATTAATCCCTGCAAACATCAGTTAAATTCAAAATAAAGTTATGACTTTTAACTAATATATATACATAGATGGAATTACTGTCATTTCGTATCAGATACACAATACCTTAATAAAATTAAACCATAAATTATTAACATAATAGTGCAACACAATTAGAGGTTCGTGAAATCACGAAAAAATAAGATAAAAATACATATTAGCGTACCTTAAAAACTTGATAGCCATATCTTCATCACTCAGGATTAATGAGTAAGTCTACCTTGCATTATATAAGTAATCAATATAAATTGAAAACCATCATATTAAAATGGACAGTGAAACTAAAATCCCCCCACCCTATGAGTAACCATTATTTAACTAATAAATTAGTATATAATAAAGAATTTAATAGAAAGGCAACCTGTTGTAAATACAAACAGAATGACTGCACCAAAGCCTGTTAAACCAAAAAGAAATGAGGAGAATGTAGACAGAAAATTAATATTAGTAAATGCAAAGAACTAAATGAAACGTTTGCCCACTATGTATTAATGGTCCAAATTTATAATCCCTATTTAAGATTGTCAAAATGAATGTGCTAAGTATACATGTATGCTATCTTCGCTTGCGAAATTCAAGCAGTTTGTAAAAGTTGAGAAACTCTATACTGAATAGGACTCTGTTTTGGGGACTCTTGATCCTAGGGTGTCAAATATACTTCTTGCAGTGTACATCAAAGAAGACAAATGAACAGGCTGAAACCTTTCATAGTCGGATGGTGCAAAATATACTTCTTCCGTATTTTTCCTGTGAAACCAACTTAAAAAGTAATTATACAAATTAAAAATTTCAAGCATTCACTTACCCAGAAACCAAAAATGAAAATTATTAAGAGTTTTAATTAAGTTTAAATTCTACTTTTTTAATTAAATGAAGCTGACTGGATGTGTAGAGACCAAGTCAAGCTTGAGTCCTAGTTTGTAGGAGTAATGATTAAGCTTGTTCACCATGATTAAATTTGCTTCAGTTGTTTAGGGTTGTAATCTCCACAAAATTTGCACATTATCTCAGTAGTGGAGTTTATTTATTTGCTTTCCTTTAAAAGGATGTAATCTTCCCTTTTGTGTTAATGAGAAGAAACAGTTCAATATTTTTTGTGAGTTAACATTACAAGAGCACAACTAGGGTTTTGGGGTTCTAGGGTTTTTCAAACCAACATTTGGTATGAGAGCTAGTTTTTACTGCCTAAAAAAAAAAACGAGTGAGAGAAAAAAACCTGCAATAGCAAGAAACAATGTCAATCTAGAAGGCAAGTGAAAGCTTTGTGCATCTAGCCATTCCCAAGTTCGATGGTCACTACGACCAATGGAGCATTGTTGATGGAGAATTTCCTAAGGTCCAAAGAGTACTTTGTCCTTGTGGAAACAGGGGTTGATATACCTCAAAGAATCCTAACGACGACGCAACAGAAGAAGGTTGATGAATTGAAGCTAAGGGATTGAAGGTAACGAATTACTTGTTCCAGGCAATCGATAGATCCATCCTAGAAACCATTCTTGAGAATGAGACTTCCTATCAAATATGGGAATCAATGAGGAAGAAATATCAAGGATCAAGAAAAGAAAAGCGAACACAACTTCAAGCGATTAGAAGAAACTTTGACTTTTCAAATGAAGAATGGAGAGTGTGAACGAATATTTTGGAAAAGTAAGGGCAATTGCTAACAAGATGAGAATTCACGATCACAAGATTGAAGACAATGAAGTTATGGAGAAAATCCTGAGATCAATGGCTCCCAAGTTCGACTACGTGGTCTGATTCATTGAGGAGTCAAATGACATTGAGGAAATGTCAATTGATGCGTTGCAAAGCTCCTTTGTTGTCCATGAACAGAAGCTGAATCGTGGTGGCTCCCAAGAGCAGGGGGAAGATTTAGGAATATGGATGACAGCAGATCATCTCATGTTTCCAAGAAAGATGATGATCATCAAAGCAAAGGAAAATAGCACTTCGACAAGTCTCATGTTGAATGTTACAGGTGCGGAAATTATGGCCACTACAAAAATAAGTGCTACACTAAGCTTCCCAAGGAGAAGGGAGAGAAGTCAAACTTTGCTGAGAAAAAGGAGGAATAGACACTCTTAATGGCATTCCATGCTATGGAGGAGTTTGGTCAAGAAACTTGGTATGTGGACATTAATTGCAGCAACTACATAAGTGGGTGTAAGTCTTCTTTTGTCAATATGGATGAAAGTTTTCGTACCAATGTTAGTTTTGGAGACAAATCAACGGTGAATGTTATGGGAAAATGAGAGATTCAAATTAGGACCAAGAATGACTTCATTGAGACTATTCAAATGTCTTTTTCATCCCTGATTTGAAAGCAAACCTGTTAAGCAACTTCAAGACAAGAGGTATAAGATTGCTATATTTCAAGGAGAATGTGAAATATATGATCCGAAGAGAGGTTCCATTGCAGTGGTGAAGATGTCACCAAACAAATTGTTCCCATTGAAGCTCAAGACTATAAATGCATGCTTGCATGCGAAGGAAGATGAAAGTCATGGTTATGGCACCGTAGATTTGGTCATTTGCACTTCAATGACCTAAGAACTCTCTACCAGAAGGAAATGGTTACTGGCTTGCCCGAAATTTCAATGCCAACTATGGTTTATGATGAGTGTGTCATAACAAAGCAGCCAAGCGAAGCATTCTTAAGTTGAAAAGTAACCATGGCTCACTTAATTCTGGAATTGGTTCATTTAGACTTGTGCAGACCAATTAATCCAATCTCAAATGGAAAGAAAAGGTACTTCATCTTCTTCACTTATGATTTTAATTGAAAAACGTGGGTGTATTTTTTGCATGAGAAGTTAGAGGCGTTCAATGCATTTAAGAGCTTCAAAGCTCTTGTGGAAAATGAATCTAAAAAGAAAATCAAGTGTTTGCGCACTGATAGTGGAGGAGAATTTTGTTCGAATGAATTTGAAGCCTTATGCGATGCAAATGGAATTAAAAGGCAGCTTACTGCTACTTACACGCCACAACAAAATGGCGTCTCGGATAGGAAAAATAGGACCATTTTCAACATGGTTTGAAGTCTGCTAGCAAAGGGAGATGTTCCAAAACAGTTTTGGCTTGAAGTACTTCTTTGAGCAGTTCATGTTCTTAATAGAAGTCCTACCTTTTCTGTTAAAAACATGACATCCCAAGAGGCATGGAATGGAAGAAAGCCTTCAGTGGAGCATTTCAAAGTGTTTAGATGCATAGCATATGCACATGTTCCTGACAAGAAAAGGAAAACACTAGACAACAAAAGTGAGAAATGTGTCTTTCTTGGTGTGAGTGATGTATAGAAGGCTTATAGATTGTACAATCCAGAAACTGAGAATATTATTATTAGCCGATGTGGTGTTTGATGAGAATGCAACATGGAATTGGTCTGTGAACAAGACAACCAAACAACAAATACCAGTTGATGATGTCTCTGATGAAAACACATATGTTCTATAGCCACCTCAAATTGAAGAAGTACCATAGCAACTTGAAGATGAAAGATACAATCTAGGAGGTGAAGGTTCGAGAAAGAGGCCAGCTTGGATGTTGGACTATGACACAAGTTACACAAGCTCAGGTGATGACAATGCTCACTTACATTGTTTGTAGATAGTTACACAATCAGTTTCGAAGAAGCTTTAAAAGAAGAAACAAGGAAAAATGCAATGAATTGTGAGATATAGTCCATTGAAAAAAACAATACATGGGAGATGACTGATTTGCCTAAAAGGACATAAGATTGATGGTGTTAAATGGATTTTTAGAACCAAGGTTAATGAGAAAGGAGAAATAGACAAGCACAAGGCTCATCTAGTGG